TTCCCGCAAAAGATCGAGCCGTGTCCGTCTCCAGTTGGCACGTAGGGTAAGAATGTCTGATTTCAGAAATCCACAGGCAGTATTCTATTCTGAGCTGTCCTCAAGGTAGAGGTAGAGTAACGTTGGCACTCCTAAAACGCGCAACAAAGACACCCTGGAAAAAGTCTGTGAAATGCCTGGTGCCCATTGCGGACAGGATAAGGTCGGGTCCAGTCGGGTTGATCGTCCAACTCGTCGCTTGAAAACAGACGCGTTATTTTTTTAGGCGACTAGTCGGGCGCAATCGGTTTGTGCCACGATAGCTGCTTTGCGCCCTCTATCTGGCTAGCAAGCTGACTCGACCCGACCCGACCCGATCCCCTAATGGGCCTTCCGTAAAAGACTTCATCATTAGTCCGGGAGAGCCTAACTCCTGACAGACAGACCCACTTGGGAGAACAGCAGTCAAAGTGGACAGCAAGTCGAACATGATGTATTTTATATACATGATGGGGCTTCACGAATTAGAAACGCTGAAGCCAAGAGAGGAGCCGGCGAGTTCCACGCATCCAGGGATGAAAATGAAGTTTTTAAAATGCTTACTATTACTTATGAAGATAATCAATTAACGCTTTCGAGAAATATCAAGTTTTAAACTTTTCAACTAAAATTCTGATTTCAGTACGAAGACATAAAAACACGTGACGTTTGAGAAAGTTTTGAAGAAATTCGGGGAGGAACGGTGTTTCATTGTTGAGAAGGCTTTCTTTAGTTGGACGGGACAACACCCCAGAAGTCAAGAATGGTCGTTGCATTGCTGCAAGAAAGGTCTGGTCAACGCCTAATAGGCCGAAAGTTACAAATGAGTGGTTACCTCATTCCCTCGACTTTAACCCCACTTCAATGATTTCTTTTGGGTCTCTTTGAAAGACAGTATGTACCTACGGAAACAATCGGACCGCTGAAACAACAGGAGATCTAAATAATCGACCCAGAAACATGCCACAAGTTATTCAGAATCTCCAATCGTTTGTGCATTGGTGTCCTGCTGCTTGCCACAATAGGCCTCAATCTTTTCCGGTCTTTGCTTTGATGTATGTATAATTTCGTATTGGCGTTATGTCTATGCGCATTTCTTTCAAGTCAAAGCAAGGATAAACTGCCTGTGGTAAGAGGCAGAGGCGGTGGGTGGACCAAAATTTGGGTGGGGCTTAGGTTGCTTTCAGTTCTTTACCACCAAATAGCAAGCAATAAGAACTAAACAGTGATGATTTTTCTATACTCACGGTGAGCCACGGCAGTTTGAGAACCATTTAAACGAGAAGAGTTGCCTTTGTTTTCCATCTCTAATTGTTCTTAGTTAAATTTTTGTTGATGAAAGAGTTGCCTTAAAAGTAGTTCGACCTGATTTATAACTGTTAAATCTCAGCGGCACAAACAAAAACATGCACACACAACGCTTCAAACATAGGCTAATACTTCTTTGAGCTGGATTAGGCCGTGGAGTCGAGAAAGTTGAACGTATCCCACAAAGAACCAATGAGCGCATAGGTATCTGTGTCAGTGAGGGAAAGTGTGTCGTAAACTTTCACACCATTGTCAGGGCTAGGAGAGCGTGAGCCCTCGGTACAGTGTTATTTCCCCCCCAGTCTTCTACCTTTTTAAAAGAAGAGTTTCATTAACGACGGGCTGTGGGAAAAGGGCTCATCTTCGCAGAGCCCTAAAGACATTTGATTGTCTGCTGGGTTACTATAGTTGTAAGCAGTGACAACAGTGATTGGATAAGCAAGCAAGCCGCCAAGTTGATCACTCTGTGTTCATTACGCGCGGTCATAACGGATTCAACTGCTTATTTCATTTTGGAGAAACTTTCATTTACTTTGGGATAGAGTTGAGGGTGGTGGGTGGGGAGGGGGCAGGGGCTCAAGCCCGTGGGCCCTTCACTACCCACCGCCACTGGTAAGAGGGCGTTCTTGTGTGCTCTAGCAGCTCCTTCTTCTACTTCATCCAAGTGTTTCTATTGTCCTTACGTCAAGAGGAGAAAGTATCTTGGTCGTTGCAGTACTGACTGACCGTAAACTGCCTCGAGAAAACATCATCAACAACGACAAACAAGTAGAGGAGGTGTTACCATTACCTGACCGTGGCGAGTAGAGTTCTTCTCGGGGTCGCGGAGAGGCGCAACTGACTAATTACTAACTTCGCTGCCACCTAAACATGTCAGCCACATTCATGCATGCACAAACAAACAAACAAACACACACACACACACACACACACACACAAACACACACAACAACAACAACAACAACAGCAGCAGCAGCAACAACAATAACAAAATCAGTAACAACAGCAGCAGCACCACCACCATCGCCATCATTATCACCAACAACAACAACAACAACAAGAACAGCAACAGCAGCAGCAGCAGCATCATCCGCAGCAAAACAGCAACAACGACAGTAACAGTAACAACAACGATTTAAAAAAGCATAACTGAAGAGAAACCAAGGGTTCTACCAACACACGCACACTCACACACACACACACACACACACACACACACACACACACACACACA